GTTAAACCAAATTAATAAACTCTATATCATATTAAAGTTAAAGGTTACAATTCAAGCTTTATTAAACTCAGATTAACTCGTTTATAATTTATATCTGAGTTGGAGTCAAATTTATTTATAATTTATAGTTAAAAAAATTTTTATTTTTGCTTCTTTAGAAGCTCGAACTTAAATGAATTTTTTTCCTTATAAAAGTTGAAAATATGGTTCAAATATGGTTCTATGGTCCCACCAATTGATAGATAAAAACATGAATTTTTCAAAAAATTATTTCTATTTTATCTTTTTTTTAATTATATGATTGAAAATACTCTCGTTTTTTTCAAAAATTTTATTGATTTAGTCTATAGATGAAATCATAGATCTTAATCAAATTAATCCCAGAAAGAGTTGTGCTTCAATTTGGCCTTAATAAAAAAATGCGATTGGTTGGATGTTGAATACAAATAATAGACCTTGGCGTTGGTGAAAAAAATTTAACAGGTTGGATTGTTTGATCTCATCTCTAATATATATTGCTTTTTGTCATGTTAAAAGAAGCAAGCAATTGTTAAAAAGAAACAAGAAATAATTTTAAAGATGTATTTGGTAAGAAAGGGTTTTATGCGCAAAGTTTTTTTTTTTTTTTTTTTTTTTTTTTTTTTTGCTTGGTTATGAAGAGTTTATGTTTGATTTTATTTTAACTAATTATTCACTCATCTCAAGAGAAGTAATAGTTGTCATATATGAACTTAGTATTGTTTTAATTCCAGATTTTTTTATCGAATATTTTCGAGTTAAATTGAGTTGTTTGGGATGAATTTATTGACCCGGATTTAAATACCTGAAAATGTTAAAATTTTTGTGCACTTAAAAAAATAAAAATAATTAAACTCCCTATAAAAAAAATTAGCCTTAATCAAATTAGGTCGGATTTTGGCCTTTGAAAGAGTTAAGAGGTACGTTGGAGTTGGAGCATTTCCCCACATCCTTGTCGTTCTTACTTTCTCAATTGATACGTACTCTCACAAAGCAAATCTTCATTCTAGATCAATAAAATAATTATTAATATAATTAAACTAATAACATGTGTATTATACATTGCATCCTTCCATGCAAGTTTGAACAAGATTTGAGACCGTTTATCTGTAAATTTACGACTTTTTTCTTAAATATTTTTTGAGGCATTCATAAATGAATTATTTAAATATATTTATAATATATTTTTATAATATAAATACTAGTGAAATCGTTGGTTGGATAATTACAAAATTATATTTAGTGAGAATGTTTTGGCTAAACCCGTTAACTGGAGTAAAATATTTAATAAACGCCTTAACAAAATTATACATTGTATTTAAATTAATAATATATATATTATAAATTATATATATATATAATATTATATAGATTAGTATATTATATATTATTATATAGTTATATTATATATATATATTAATATAAAACTGTATAAGAAGGTTATATAAATTATCTAGTTTTATCGGGCTTTGTTAATTATCCCAGACGAAAACGTACATATAAACTAATTTTCTTAATCTTATGGGGTAATATTTATTAAAATTTATATATTACATAAAGAAAAGTTTTCCTTATAATATTTTTTAATATAATTCATGCATGACAAAGTTGTTGATATTATATTCACCTCTAGTTATTCACAAGATTTAGCGTTACAGAGATAATAAAGAGCTTTATGGCGATACAAAAAAGAAAAGCTTATAAGAAAAAATAATTGATAGTTATTTCTTTGGTAGATTGTAAGCTTTGTTGTCTCGTCTCGATTTGTTATATTCAGTTGGGAACGTCAAAACGTTCCTCACTGTTTTTCTCAACTGGATTGATCGTCTGGCTTGGTCTCATAAGGGTAATGCTCTATCCTTTGTTAATTATTTGCTTCTGATGTATGGGTAAAAATTGAATACGGATGAGTATTTAATAATATTTACAAATCTCATTTGGATGCATGTTGATCTAAATATATATTATATTAATTTAATTTTTTAAATTACAATTATTATATAAATTATATAATTGTTTTTATGTATAATGCGCTAGATAGAATAACTAATGCATATTATGCATTCTCGACGCCTTCTTGTGCTTTGGTTGGAGCTTTTTATAATGCTATAAACATATATATTTAGACACGCAGAACAGGTTATTAAAGATGTAACGAACTACAGGCTCATTTCTTTGTCCGGGAGTTAAAGTTCTGCTCACTCTTCTAAACCTCGCTCTCACCACAGACGGGTGGACCTGGAGCGTATCACACTCCTTGTGCATATAAAGTAAGCAAAGAAAAGAAATTCAGAAACACACAGTTTTATATATTTTTAGCTAACCTTTATGTTTATAAGGCATAATTAAAAATGAGGACATAAAGACCAATTCTTTTTTTGGAATTTCGAGGTTGAGAAATTGTAATATTTTTTTATCCATTAAATTTATACCACATAGTTAATAATATGTAATATTCTATTCCAACATTGTATATTTATGTATAATCCTATTACTGTGCGCTGTGTAGCAAAAATTACAAAACATCTCATCTCTCTTTTCAAAAACCTAACAATTCTTATACTATTAATTTTTTCGCATTCACCTTTTCTTTTCAGGTAACTTTAAAACTAATTTTCAATTCGATTAACTACTTATTTTCTTTATTCGGTTATTTTTATTAAATTTGACAACATTAACATTTTCTCGAGATTTTAGAAACATAAAGATACTATGTTGCTACTCATAAATTTAAATAAGTTAAACAATCTTTTACTACACCTTTATATAGCTATTTTCTACATACATTTTAAATATGTGTTACTTGGATTAGAGGTTAAGGATTCATCTAAATTGATTACAATTTAAGGAATAAATCAATATATTAGAAAAACAATCAAGAAATTCTCACTCAAATAAAGCACTACATATCCAAACGATAAAAATCATCAATAAATTCACTAATATAAGGGCAAAACACAAAAAATCAACAATAGATATAGAAAACTAGAATACACATCTTTTGCTGCATTAAATTCTTTCCTTCTCATCTGAAACAGGCCGATGGACTTGATCTGAGATCCAACATATAATTATTTATACAATATTCGGGTTAATTAATGTTAATCTGTTTGTAGTCCTTAGTTTTTCTTTATCCATCTCTGATATATCATCAAAGGAATAGAGCAGAAATGTGGTGTTGTATTGATATGAGTTTGGTATGGCTGCAGATATTTCTTCTATATATTATTTATAATTCTAAGTATTTCTCCGGCTTATAATAAATTATTTTTTCACCCAACCGTCCAAAAGAAATGTCGGTATATCTTAATTGATTTTCGTATTGATAGCAAAACTCATTCTAAATCCACAGCAAACTCAGAGTGGCTTTGAGGTATGCACAATATCTTTCTGAAATTAAAGAGCTACAATCATTTCAAAAAAAGCTCACAATACTTTTTTTTCTAGATGTCGTGATCAATGTTACTTTTAAATATTTAAATTCAATCACTACTACAACTCCGCTTCATAAATTATATTAAATGAATCTATGATGAGCATAATAAATTACAAAAATTATTTAATACATACAAAATAAATAAGATTTATGAAACTTATACTAATTTAAATTCCATGGGCACATTAAACACACAAGAATAATATGAGAATATAATATAAATTCAAAGACGGAGTACAATATACACTCCCATTTTATTTGATATCACTAGAAATGTTAGATGCAAAGTTACAATTTTTTATTTTTTTCTAGAGTACAAACGATTCGCATAAAATAGACTTATATTCGAACACATACCTAGCTTTAAATTCAAATTAGGGTATGGGATTGTGAGTGCTAAGATAAATTTTAGACCGGAACAGCTATTTGATTTTCATTCTCTAGCAACTCTAATATCTTTAATTGATAGAACAACGTGCAGACCGATCGCTTGGAAACTGTAAACATAACAACTTAGAAAAGGAGGCCATTTACGGTTCTATGTGCTCCTTTAGTCACTAATGGTCAATCCATAGGAAACAGCCAGACACGTTGCTTTATATAGCTAGTCGTTTGTTCGAGATTTCTCGGAAAGAGAAGAATTCATCGGCTGGCCTTTGTGATTATTATATTTTTATCATTATTACTGTACAGATAGAGAAGCTCTTGAGTCAAACGGAAGCACCTAATATAGGAATATGGAATTTTTATCATTCTGAGCATTCATTAGCTATGTCACTAGACATCCACATTAAAACACAATAGATAATATGATTACGAAATGTTTTTTTCAAGACATTAAAATTAATTAGAAGGTAGCAGAAAGGAGGTTATTAGAACTATTCAACTAAATAATCCATTTGCTAACTCATATTGGCGTAGAAGCTAAGCATATGTCGAGTCCTGTTGAAATATTTGAGTGGTTTGTAAAGGATAGCTCAGCCATATGCTATTGTACGAATTGAAACAATATCACCACTACAGCCCTTTATATGTCCGAACTTAATCTTTTGGTTGTTGGTTTTACATCTATTGTTTCTAACTCCAGCTCCCTCGATTGAGATGCATTTAGCATTCTTCGTCTATCTGCTAAGCCAATATACCTGTATTGTTTTCTTGACGAATCCGGTGAAACGTCATGTCGATGTTCCAGTAAAAATAATACTCCTAATCGTGAGTATATTTATTCGCCTCTTGGGAACATTGAAATCTTCAAAATGTCCATATTTCCAGCAACCATAATCTCTAAGGAACTCTCAATCATTGGTCTGTTGATGAATTCTAATATAAAAACCATTAAAAGAAAGAATGTTAAGTACAACGAAATACTAAAAAATTCTTATATCTTTAGATTTAAAGAGAAAATATGAAAACTGCAACTAATAATGAATTTATAAGTGAATTTTACTTTACCTTCTCAGCTTCAAGCTATCGCAGTGTTAGCAACTTGGTTACGCGCAACGGAAAACTCAGCCAATGAACACACTTCATTATATTCACACTTCCATTTATGGAAGCAGCATCTCCTTAATTAACAATCCCCCTGACATTAAATATATCCACCATGACTTGCACCGTTGAGCCCACATTAACCTAATTCGTGAAGATAAAAGGTTAAAGGAACAAATTTATAAAAACCATATACAAATAAAATTAAGAAGGAAAAATCTTACCATTAGTTCGCCGGCCCTTGCATATACAACATCAGTACCGTTAATTTTCCCAATATAAAATAATTTTCCTGCAATTAAGAATCCAAGAAACGGTAATGGTCTATACATACAGTTGTAATACTAAACAGTTAAAAAGAAAGGATGGGTTACCAGCAATTTTCTGACTGGAGGTAACAGTGAAGACTCCAGAGTCAATGAGTGCATTCTCAGCATCACTAGTAAGAGAAACAACGCCCACTGGATATGTTTCAAGGCCATTGAATTTATGGGTCATTTCATACACAGGATTTCTCAAACTCAGTGGCGTGGACTGTTGTGCCATAGCTAACAGCCCAAAAACCACCACTGCCAAAAACCACCACTGATAGCTAACAGCCCAAAAACCACCACTGAAATTCGAAATGCCCACATCTTATGGGGTGGCCCTGCTAAAGCCATTCGATTTGCTGAAGAGTTTGGAGAGAAAATTAAGACAATGTCTTAGAAGTTAAGTGACAAGGCTGATCCTATAACCTAAAACAAGCCAATGTTTTGGTTGTGTGTTGCTCTTCCTCGAAAAGGCCTTATATAGACGCAAGCAAGGCACTGTGTCATCGTTATCCCTTCCCATATAATTAAAAAAAATAAGCAATAGCCACATGTTCCATGAAAGAATAATTACGAAAACCAAACCCTAAGGGTTGGTTCACATGGTAAGTGAATTTTCTCCACACGTTTAAATCAAAGGTTATAAATGAGGAAATTTTTTTCTTACACCCGGCATATGAGTAGTCTTATATATCAAGTCAATCAAAAAAAGATTTTTTTAAAAAATTATTACTTTATCAATTTTTTAGTGTACGGTCAGAAATAATATTGTTTGAATTAAAATATTATTTATAATTGGTTTAGTGTATAGGTGACCATGTGTAGATAAATCTTTCCCTATAAATAATATTAATCAAGTATGTTTTGATTGATATTCTCAGTTATAAGAGAAGTGAGAGGTCTCGACCCGTTAGACTCTCTCAATAAATAAAAATAAAATTATAAATGATAATTTTTTTCTTAATTGAATCATCTTTTATTAACGGTAATAGATGAATAGATGATCGATTTCCCCTATGAATTTAATATGATATATGAAAGTGAACCTAAAACAAAGGCCAAAATGGGCATGTCATGCAATATAAAGCTATTAGAAGTAATGCATTTATAAACATTTAGCTTCCATTTGTTTCCGAAATTATATTTTTCAAATAAAATAATTTTAAAATAAATTATTTTGCATTATTTGATTGCAATATTAAAAAATTTTGATTGCAATTATTAAAAATTAATTAAAAAATATTAAAATTTTAATTATAATTATAGAATAAAATATTAAAATTTTTAATTTATAATTATAGAAATTCTGTATTTCAAAAACTTATAATTAAATATGAGAAAAATACATAAAAAGTGATAATTTGTGATGGTTTTTGCCGATGACTTACGGTGGTGTTGACTATGGCTAGCAGTTAGAGGTGGTCAGTGATCGTTCATGGTGGCAAACTGTGATTAATAAATTAAAAAATTGTGTTTTTAAAGGTTATAATAAGTGTTTCTAAAAAAAAATGGTAAGTGTATTAATAAGGAAAATATTTTTTCTCTTGGAAGTGAAAATCATTTTCTTTAAACATGACTTAGTTTTCCTTTAACCAGAAAATATTCATGGGAGCTCACCGATGGTCAGCCCTTTTCCTTTTTTTATTGTTTTATAAATAATCCTCAGATCTATTTCTGAGTTATTATTATGCCATTATGGTGATTTTGTTTAATGTCTTTTATTATTTGGATATTTATATAGAAAGAAGTGTAGATCTAATCTTTAATAGAAAAAGAAATTTGAAAGCCATCATATCGGACTTATAGAAAGACCATGGAGTCAAACGGTGGATATGAATAGCCATCAAGTGGAGCAAGCGATCGCCTATAGCACAAATATTATGCTTTGTCAACTCGATCAGATACTTCAACTCAAGATTGCGTTTTTTTATTCTTTGCAAGTGGTTTGGCATTAGACTTTATATACAAAAATGTAGAAATATATTGATATGTAACCCATATCTATATAAAGTTTCATCTTAATAAAATTTCTAATTTGATTTCTTTAAAAAAAAAAAAGAAAAATATTTTTCATTGACTAATCTTCCCGAGCATTCAAAAAAATCTGAAAAATATTTTTTCAAACAAATTATTTTCTGAAAGCAAAGGAGCCTAAACTGCAAATTAATAACATCACCCCAAATTCGTACCAACATTAATTCAAATGGGAAAATTTTTTCAATAGTGATGCATTAAAAATTTAAACATCACCTCATAATTCAATGTTAAGTTGAAAAAAAAAAAAGAAATTTAAAAATTTAGGTGTCAAATTAAAAATTTAAAGAAACAGGTCACTCCTCTTTCTTCTTAGAAATGTTAATTTTTTAAATGGAATTAATTATTGATGCGGTATATAAGGATAGATATTCACCATGTATCTTTTTCTTTTGAAATAATCAAAACTTTTTAAATTGGAATTAATTATTGATGGCGGCTATATTGATGCGGTATATAAGGATGGATATTCGCCATGTATCTTTTTCTTTTGAAATAATCAACTTCCGCCGTTAAGAAAAAAACAAAAAGAACCAAGAGACAATAAACAGTTTGGGATTACTTTTTGTCGCTAAAGCTCTTTCTCTTATTGCAAATAACTTTAGCGACAGGCTATAATCATCGCTGTTTTTTCTATCTCGCTTAGACAACTTTCTGCGACAATGAAATTGAGGACACTATTTTAGCGCCAAACTTGTTCTCGCTAAAACAGTTGTGGTTGCAAAATAATTGGTTTGAAAGTTATTGCTCTTTGGATAAAGATACTTAAATAATTAAAATACATAATAATTATATATAATTTAATTACTTATTATTTTTTAATTTGGTTACATATAAATTTTCGAGGGAAAAAATAGAACAATAATAAAATTTTAAAAAATTTATAATCAATTAGGATGTCAAAATACAAAATATTCATAAAAACTTAGTTCCATATTTATTAGGTTATATATGTATTTACTATTTGATTATGACTCTGGAAGTTAAAACAATTCTAGCTAAAGTACCATACTATTATAAATAATATATAAAATTTTGTTATGGTATTACGTTGTTATGTTACGTTATAAATAATTATATATTTTATTATTTAAAGTCTTTATATTTTGTTTCAATAATTCTTTTATGAATTTCGCGAATATTTAAGAAAATAATGTCTCAAATCTTGTTCAAACATGTCCTGGGAAGAATGAAAAGTTACTATCAATATTGCATAAGTAAACCTTATTAGGGTAATTATATTACTATTATTATCTTCGTTAAGTTTGCTTTGTGAGACATACGTGTCAATTTAGGAACTAAACATGTGGGGAAATGCTTCGACTCCAGCGTGCCTCTTGGCTCTTTCAAAGGCCAAAACACCTTATTTAATTATGTGTTTGTGTCGAGGCCAAATTTAAAATTTGAAAGTATCAGGCCATGTTAAAACTATCTTATATTAGGTATTTGAAAGTATCAGGCCATGTTAAAACTATCTTATATTAGGTATCTCTTACATTATAAAGAAATAATTATATTAGGTATTTAATTTCTTCTTATTTCTAATTTTTTATTCAATAAAATTATATTTAAAAACTATATAAATTTGGATATTAATGTAAAAATATTAGACCAACGAGAATTAATCTAAGTGAAAACCAACGAGAATTAAATCTAAGTGAAAAGAACTAAGATCCCTTAAATAAGAGGTTTGAATGTCCAAACATTATAAATAGAGAAATTCCCAGTTACAATGGAGAAATCCCAGTTGGTAACGTTTTCCCCTATAAATCTGACACGGTGCGAACATGATTAAATTTAACTCAAAATGTGATATAAATAAAAAAAAAATGTGAAACCATTAGTTATTTTCATTAATAGGCAGTAAGGTCAGCAGAATATAATTGCACATTTAGGAAAAATTTATATAGGAGGTTTGAAATCTACAATCATCACGGTTAGGAATGCAAATTTTATTTGAATATTATTTCCAGCTCAAACTGTAAATACATTGTACATGTGTAAACAAAAATTAATTATAGCTTTCTATAATTAATTTACAAAATTATTTAAGTTTGAACAGAAACTAATGCAAATATAATTAATTAAAAATGATTAAAATACAAATTCAATATAACCTCTCTAATAAATATTACTATTATTTATTTACTTGTCCACCCTCCTATATATATATATCTCCGGCACCGTGACTCTTGTGCAAATCCAAACAACGCTAAATTTAAAAGTCTGAAATGGTTGGATGGTTCAATTTTTTTTTATTTCTTTAGCATATACACCAAAAAGAAAAACAAGTTCTGAGTTTAAAAAATTAAGATGCCTCTAAAGGCGTGCATGGGACCACGGAAATTTAGTGTCCGTTCTTGAAAATTGTCCCAAATTTTAATTCTATATTAATTATTTTGAACGTTATTTTGAAACAGAATAGTTTTTTAATTACGACTGAGCCCGTACCAATAAATTTTAAAGACATAATTAATAAAATAAATTTTCAATGTAAATTTTTCTTCTATAATCTTTCTAAATAAATTTTTTCTATTAAACGAAAAGAATATTAATCTATACAAAAGAAAATATTAATCGTAATTAACCTGATTACCTAATTATTGATTATGTCGAATGATATTATTACTTATCTTTGAAAAAGATGAAGAACATGCATGAAGAAAATAAAAGATCAAGGAAAAATGAGAAGAAGAATAAATAAAGAAAAAAAAAAGCAAAAACAATTGGGAATTTATTTAATAAATAAATATTTGTCACTCTTCAGAAATAGTGACAAATATTTTCAACCACTAAATTTGCTTATTGCTGCTCATTTTTGTCACATGAAATTTTAGCATTTAACATTATAATTTTGCTATTGAAAAACTGTTAATAATTTAGCTCATTATAATTTATGCCATATGCAAAATTTTAAATTTTTTTTTTAAATTTTGTTATTAAATAGTGACTAAATAGCAATAAAATACATTTTATTGTTAATCTATCGCTATTCTATCACTAATTACATGAGCTCTTTTAATATTAACATTCTTTTTTTTTCTGTTAAATGTCGCTAAATGATTGATAATTTAATTTTTTCGCTATTTGCTGAAAAGTTTGTAGTGATTAAACAACTTGAAATCTATTTTTAATTTGTAGCTTTACTCATTTTTTATTTTTTAATTCTTATATTTAATATGACAAAAAAATCAATCAATAAAAAATATTTTGTATCAAATTGAAAGTTAAGTTATTTTAAAAGAAATAAATTTTTATTTAAAAAAATATTTTACAAAAAAATTAACACAATTACTATAATCTTATCAACATAGATTTAGTAATATGTTGATGATGAAAAGTGACCATTGTTGATCAATTTCAATCAGCGTCAGTTATCGGCAACCGCGTTTAGCGCTTACTATTCCACAACCACTGACCTTTGTCATTATCACAATTTATCATATCATACATTTTTTCTTAACAATAATTTTTTGAATTTCAAGTTTATCATTTCTACAACCAAATATTCCCTCCGTCCATAAATTATTTAACGTTATGATACAGTGATGATTAAAAAAATAATTAATTCTCTTAAATTAAAATAAATATTCATTCATTTGATTAACTTACCCTTTAGAAAATAATAGAAATAAGAAAAAAAAAATCTTATTAATAATTTCAGGATATTCTCAAAGCGACTCATGTTGTTGAATAAAAATATTTGTGGCCAGAAGTAGTAAGCTGCTTGAAATATATTTTCAAAAAAGATAAATTATTTTTAAAAAATAAATAAAATTTGAAACAACGAAAAATAAAATCAAACCCAAAACCAACCTGGATCCAATAACATTCGGGTTGGGGGGGACTTCGAACCAAAACCGGGAAAGTTATGGATTAGCTGATAGCTCCTGGGCATCTCGTGTTGCCGCATGCATACACGTGTCTTGAAATGGACATATTTTTGAATTTTCACGTGATGGACTAGTCGCAATAAATGCATAAAGAACAACCATTGGTCCAAGAGAGAAGTCATTACCTGTTTGAAGGTCCACAGAAAAATCTCTGCTGTTTGCATTTCTAAATAAACCACGTTGTAATAGCTTTATTGGCCACATGCATTAAATTTTGTCTTTTTTCAGGGTTGGCTTTTAATACATTAGTACAGAGGTGGGACCAACGTATTCTGATGTGGTGTTAGAATTTAACAAGTCTTATCCACATGTCAGGCTGAAATTATTCTCATAGAGGACAAAGTGATTGTCCTATCGGGTAGGATGTAGACCGCCTTTTTATCGGTTCAAATTTGTGCATCGTCCATTAAAATTTAACAAAAATAAACTCAGACCTGTTTCCAACGGAACACCAATCCTAATCCTACGGCTATAAATGCTTCTGAAAGTAACCTGGCCTTCCGCCTTTCCCGCGGCCTTCCGCCACATAAAAAATAGTACTATTTCTTTATTTATAATTATAGGATATTTTTTAATTAATTTACATTCTTTTAAAATGAAATCTAATTATCCGGTAATCATATCAGTAATTAATGTTGATACACTAATAAATATATCAAGCATATGTATGTATACCGAATATGCTAAGAAATTTAATACAGATAATTATATCAAGAGTTACAAATTTATAAAGAATTTGTGATATTCAGTCAAATAAAGTATTCAAAATTTAAGATATTTGCTCGAAACTTAAAGTATATATATAATCTTGCAATTAAAATCATCTCCCATCATATGTTATAAGATAGTCCTTGTTTCTTAATTGGTATGCTCTGTTAATTTTTGTATATTTATAATTTAAAAATATTTGATGAGGATGAGAAGGTACGTTATTTTTTTTTCAAATTTACATGAATATTAGAGACTAGTGAAATTTATCAAAATCAAATAGAAGATTTTTTTTTCTTTTAAAAATATAAACTATGATAATAAATGATGTTTTTTTTTCTTTTAAAAATATAAATTATGAAGTCATTTTTCTTGAAAACAAATTAATATTAGTTTCATCCAGAAAAATATTATATTAACTTTTCTATGTGCAAAAAATATGAAAAAGGCATTATTATTATTATTATTGTTATTTTTTAAAATAACAATTTTGAAATGGCCACTAATTTCTTTATCAATTAAATATCTTAATTTATAAAATTTTTCTATTGAATATTTTAATTAAAAAATTAAATTGATTAAACCATTATTGAATAATTAAAAAATAAAAGTTTATTATTTGAAAAATTATAATAATCATGTATCAAACTAATAAAAATCTATTATTGTTAATGCGGAGAGGGAGTGATGTTATAAAATCATAAATTTTTAGGGTGCTGAACGTCATTTTCTGTAAAGTTTTAAATGTCATGAAGATAAACACTTAAAACTTAGGGGAAAATTTTATACAGTAAGCCAATAATTAAGGAGTGTGTGTGTTCACATGCAAGGTTAAGCATACTTTAAGTTAGAACTAATTAAATTAATCAAATCGAATCAATTCAGTTTGATTTTAAAACTTTTAGCGTTTATTTTGAACAATGGTTCAAATACTTTTTGATTTATTCTGAGCTATATAACATTTTAAAAATTTGGCTTAAATCCAAATTAATTCAAAAAAGAACTGCAAAAATTGATCGAAGTCATTCAATCCAGTCAGTCTCTATTTTAATGGTTCATCACCATTTAACAACTGAGCAAGCTGTCACTGCTGTTCACTCACTTAAATAAAAAAAAAAAAAAACAAATGGTTGTGATCTTTCGTAGGTTGTCAGAAATTGGTTTTTATTACAGGAAACCGTCTGTTAAACTGAAAGGACAGTATCAATTGAATTGTTCATTTTTATTTAACTTTGCAATTTTAGTCTTATGGCACTTTGAACTTTGTGAATGACCTATTATACATTTGAACTAATGACCTATTATACATTTGAACTTGCAAAATTTGGTAACATTGCACACCTTTCCATGCTAATAATAATAGTTTTTTTGGTCTTTGTATTATATAAAATATTAATTAATGTGTAGGTTAGCATAAATTTTGGAAACAATAATTTTCACATTTTCAACTATATAATAAGTGTTTAATTGATCTTAAGTTTTTGCAAGTTGAAATATTTAATTAAGTTGTAATTTGTATAAGTTGAAATCCAGTGTTTTAATAAAAATTAAAGTAAAAGTTAAAAGTGCGAAGTTAGGATTAAAGACAATTAAAGTTCATGGATGGAATTTATTGAATTTTATGAATTTAAAATTTGAAAATGAATGTTATTTTCAGATCGTATAGTGCATTTATTACTCAATTATGTTTTTTAATTGCTTTATTTTAAAAACGAAGCTTGGAATATAAATTTGATCGATTATAAATATTTATTTTTTATTTATTTGAACATATTGCAAAGGCCTCAATCCAATAAAAGAAAATATTGAAAATTTTGTGAGAATTCAAGTGGTTGCAAAATGAGATTAGAATCGAATCCTTTAAAGCATGTAGCATAAGCACATGACCACCGGAGGTCTGATTTTAATCAGTTTAAAAATCCGTGATAATTGGTGTGACAAAAACAATGGGTGTTTTAGAAAAGTTATTTGCCTAAACAACGCTTTTTTTGTATTAGTTTATTCGATGTAATAATGGTGGATTGTATTAATAAGTTTATGTCGCATTTAAAAAAAGAAGTGAGAAAAAGAGTGAAGTATAATTAATCAATCATTGAAGTGTTGACATCCCAACCCGATAAATTGGTTGGAAAGGGCAGGTAGAGCAAAGCTATTGATAAGCTTCTAGGATAACAAGACTAACTAGAGTAGTAAAATGCAAGACACGAAAATGAATCGAATCATATATCGAGATAGGGGAACTAGTCATCAGAGGTGCCTTTTGGTGAAATAGCCTGGAGAATTGGAAAAACTTAAGGGTTAAGTGTGTTTAGTTAAGAAAAATTATAGGATGGATCTCCTGGGGATTGACTTGATCCAAAGCAGACAATTCTGGCGGTTGAAGTTAAAGCGTGACAATAAGAGAATCAATTTGGATCCAAAGCGAACAATTCTTTTAATGGTTGAAGTCAGGATATGACAATAAGAGAATCAATTAGATCATTCCCAGGTATCCATGTTAGATGATTCATATTAAGAAGTAACGTGGCATAATTATAAACATATGATATACTATATGTATAAACATATGATATACTATATGATTATTCCTTGAAATTAAATACAAAGATTAAGTTCGCTAATAAGATGATCAGGCAATGTAGCCACGGAATAATAACCAAATTAATAAACTCTATATCATATTAAAGTTTAAAGGTTAGAAGTCAGCTGTATTAAACTCAGATTAAGCTTGTTTATAATTTATAATCCGAGTTGGAGTCCAAATTTATGTGAATAATTTATAGTTAAAAATTCTTTATTTGTTGCTCTTTAGAGCTCGAAACTTAAATGAATTTTTTTCCTAAGTTTCAACTTGAAGTAGATTATGAAACGTGGCTCAGTTTATTCTGCATAATAATTATTCTCATAGTATTTTTTATATTCAGTAGGCACGATTAACGTAGTATATATATATATATATTATATATACTTTCGATAAACGACGATGATATCAAGTCAATTATTGAATCCAGCGATAGAGACGGTATACGAAATTAAAAAAAAAAAACGCCGAAGAAAGCATTGTGATGAAGGTAATATAGTATGTGAACAGTAAAGAACAATAAAAGTTTTAATAACAATGTGTGAACGATAACCGTAAATCCCTAACTTTTTTTTTGTTTTAATCTCTGGGCTTGTCTCTATAAAAGTTGATGAGAAGTAGTGGTTCTATGGTCCCACAAGTTGAAATATGGTTCTATGGTCCCACCAATTGATAGATAAAAACATGAATTTTTCAAAAAATTATTTCTATTTTATCTTTTTTTTAATTATATGATTGAAAATACTCTCGTTTTTTTCAAAAATTTTATTGATTTAGTCTATAGATGAAATCATAGATCTTAATCAAATTAATCCCAGAAAGAGTTGTGCTTCAATTTGGCCTTAATAAAAAAATGCGATTGGTTGGATGTTGAATACAAATAATAGACCTTGGCGTTGGTGAAAAAAATTTAACAGGTTGGATTGTTTGATCTCATCTCTAATATATATTGCTTTTTGTCATGTTAAAAGAAGCAAGATGTTAAGAAGCAAGAATAATTTTACAGATGTATTTGCTAAGAAAGGGGTTTAATTGCGGCAGATGCTAGGCGAAGCGGTGGAGTGCTGCACCCTAGATGGCGAGAGTCCAGTAGCCGAAAGCATCACTAGCTTACGCTCTGACCCAAGTAGCATGGGGCACGTGGAATCCCGTGTGAATCAGCAAGGAGAAATATACCAAGCATATGTATGTATACCCGATATGTTAAGAAATTTAATACAAATAATTATACCAAGAGTTACAAATTTATAAAGAATTTGTGATACTCGGTCAAATAAAGTATTTAAAATTTAAGATATTTGCTTGAAACTTAAAGTATATAAATAATTTTGCAATTAAAATCATCTCCCATCATATGTTATAAGATAGTCCTTGTTTCTTAATTGGTATGCTCTGTTAATTTTTGTAGAAAATATATATTTATAATTTAAAAATATTTGATGAGAAGGTACGTTATTTTTTTTTCAAATTTACATGAATATTAGAGACTAGTGAAATTTATCAAAATCAAATAGAAGATTTTTTTTTCTTTTAAAAATATAAACTATGAAAAATATAAATTATGAAGTTCATTTTTCTTGGACAACAAATTATATTAGTTTCATCTAGAATAAATATTATAATTACTTTTCTATGTGCAAAAAATATGAAAAAGGCATTATTATTATATTATGTTATTTTTTTAAAATAACAAAAATTTGAAAATGGCCACTATTTCTTTAGTCAATTAATATCTTATTTATAAAATTTTTCTATCTGAATTATTTTTAATTATAAAATTAAATTGATTAACCACTATTAAAATTAATTAAAAAAATAAAAAAAGTTTTAATTGTTTTCTGGTTCAAACTTTGTCTCTGGCCTTCGTCCTCTTTAAAAAGTTGAACTTTTTTAGCTCCGTTTGATTTAGATGTTTTATATAACTGGATAATTGTAGTGAATGTTATAGTAGATAGCTAGTGACCAATATGTGGGCTTAACCGATGAATATTTATGTTTAATAAATTTTTGCGGTGATTACTGTTAAAATATAAAATAACCATTTAAAAGTATATTTTATATATATATTTAAAATTTGATGGTAATATATTATATTATATTTTATGTATTATATAAATAAGAGTATTAATTAATTTTTAAAATCCAATATTCTAATTAAGACAATCATTATTTTTAAATAATTATGAACAAATGAATAAAAAATTCTAATTTTAAAATAACTGTAATTTTTTTTTGAAAGGCAAAAATAAATTAAGTTTTTATTATTAATTATTTTATGAGTTTTAATTACCGTCAAAATATATATTAAGCTACTTTGCTCATAAAAAAAAACCTTTAAAACGTTGAATTGAATCAATAGGTTTATTAAAGACTTTTAATCATCTTCATGAAATGATAATTAAAAAGGGTTTTAACCGAATCCTACAATCTAGCTATTGGTATGAATTAATAATTAAAAATAGCAAAGACCAAACTTGGATGCTATGGTATCACGTGTCCAATAATCGACTGTTGAATGGAAATAATTTAGCCTACATTGGTTAAAGCTAATAATTTTAAATGATACTATTTTATTTTGTTTTCTCAATAAAAGTTTAATTTTATCTTGGTTTATTGAAGAGTTTATGTTTGATTTTATTGTAACTATTTTTATGTTTGATTTTATTGTAACTATTTATTCTCCTGTCACAAAATGATTTGGCGACAAGGTTAGATCTTTAGCGACAAAAAGAAAGCCCTTAGAAATAATTGTTAAGAGTGCGTTGTTTCGTCTCATTTGTTTTTTAGTTACCCCTTTCCTCACTGTCCTGGTTGAGCACATGGCATAGGTAATGCTTATCTATGTAATTCTTTCGATATAATTAAAAAAATATATATTCAATTTAGCACGTGACTAAAAATATTAATATTTTTATAAAAAAATAATATTTTTTGTATACTAGGATAGATACTAACTTTATCCCACCCTCTTCTTTTTTTTTTTTATTAAATTTATTAACAACTTATCCGACATAGCTTGGTTTAATAGTTGAATTGCGTTATATCTCACTTTGGTGATCGCACAATCGAGTTGTGAATTCGGCATCTTAGATATGGCATTTAAAATGTAATCGCTATTTCTTTTCGGGTTAGTCTCTCATCTAACCGTTAAACGGGTGATGGGAGGTAAAAAAAAAAAAAAATTATTAGCAACTTATGTTTATAAATTAAAATGAGACAAAAGACCAACTTTTTTTGGAATTCAAGAGAAAATGATTTTTTTACAATTCAGAGAAAAATGATTTTTTTTACTCCAAATTATTCCATAATTTATTTTGGATATAGCTTGTAACATGTATATATGGTATAACCTAACTGGTGGACTTTTATAATAAAACTCATTTTTCCAAACCCTAAATTTAATACTTTTTCCTCCTCTTTTTTTTTTTTATGATTGAATTCAAGAGAAAATGATTTTTTTACTCATATTATTCCATAATTTATTTTGATATAGCTTTAACATGTATATATGTATACCTAACTGTTGGCTTTTATAATCAAAACTCATTTTCAAACCTAATTTATACTTTTCCTCCTTTTTTTTTTTTATATTTAACTGATTTTCACATAACTACTTTTTTCGATTTTTTTAATTTGCAAACTTATTTCCATTTTAGAACTAGAATTGTATCAAATAAAATTTTTCTAACATTAGCTATTTTGAAACTCCACTTCCGTTACGTGCCATGTGAACCAATCCTTGATCTTTGGTTTTCTCCATTATTTTTTCATGAAACATGTGGCTGTTGATTTTATTATTATTTTTATTATTTTTCAATTACATGGAAATGGGGGATAGCCATGAATAGTGCCATTACCGGCTTACCGCTTCTTGTATTTGTACAGGAAAAAATATTTGCATTGGGAAGAAATTAACGGAACAGACGTTGTATATGCAGGGGCCGGGGCTATGTAAGGATTTCCTTGTATAGTATACAATAGTATAAAAATCTTTTTCATACAATTTGTGTATTTACATTCTCCATTATTATTAGCAATATATGATTAGGTGAAGTGGGAGGTTAATGTGGGCACGACTGTGCAAATCCTTGTGGATATATTTAATGTTAGAGGAATTGTCCATTTCGGCGGTGCAGCATCGGTAAATGAATCTGTGGTCATTGGTGATGTTTCAGTGCCTGATCAAGTTGCTTACACAGCAGCGTGGAGCTGGAGGGTAATTAATTATTGGAGCTGGAGTATTTTTTTTTTTTTTTTTTAATCTCAGTGAATAAGTTATCAACTTCGTTTTTGCAGTACACTTATAATTATTTTCAATGGTTTTTATATAGAATTCTTCGACAGATGAAGTTCAGCCATTCCTTAAAGATATGGTTTATGGGAATTTGAGTTTTGGAGATTTTAATGTTCCCCAAAAGGGAGATAATTTACTAGGACGCATCTTTTATTGGGCATCGACATGGTTCACTGGTCAGCAAACACAGAACAGAGGTTTTTGGCTTCCCGTAAACCCAGATTGGCTAAGGATTGCATCTCAGATCCAGGGTTTGAAGTTGGAAACCCATGTGAATGAAACTGTGTACGTACCTTACAAACCAGTAGTTCAATTCGGATTAAAGGCCGGTACTGCTGATTTGTTCATTGTAAACGAAGCATATGGTGATTTCCTTCACAAAACTTTTAACATTTCAACAATCGACACTTCCTTCACAAAACTTTTAACATTTCAACAATCGACACTTCTGATTCTGCTATTACTTTGGTACGTGTCTATGCTTCGTTCATAAACTAGTAATTAATTAAACTCTATCAGTATTAATAATCTAATTATATATTTGTGGATGCAGACATGTTTCTCAAATAACATTCCGTAAATTGTGTTTCGCGGAGTTTCTAACAAGGTAAGAGATAATGATCCAAAGCCGGAATGGGCTCCGTTGGGAAATATCAATGCTATAAAAGCCACAGCTGCTTTCCTCGGATTGCTTAATCCCGACGATTCTGTGACCAATGAGTAGTAATTAAGTTAAGCATCTCAGTTTAAATAAGATTAGCTAAATGTTCTCCTACTTTTGGCTAATTATCTAAATAAGATTAGCCATGTTGCTGTTAATTCTTGATGAAAATGTAGTAATATACTCTCTGATCAGTGATCTAAAATAAATAAATGACGTTTAATAAAAAAATGAATGTTTAATAATATATTCTAAATCAATTTCTTGCAAAATGAAATATTTAATTTCACTAAACTCGCAAATGCATATGGAGCTACCACGTAGTAACCAGCAAAGAATGCTTAGACTCATGCTTAATCACTTGTAATTACTCAAACTTCGTTACTCTGATCTGAATCTAATAGCGAGAAGTTAATACAAATAGGAGATTAATAAATTTAGACGATGGATCTAAGCTTACAACAAGCCCGTATCAAATTTGTATATCCAGATGTAACAATTAGCGGTTAATATATTAGAAAGGAGAGAGGAGGCTGAGATAAGGGAAATGAGTAGAAAAAGACACTACTTGGGAGAGGTATGTTCGCAGGCTCTGTTCATCAACTTTTATATAACATTTAACATTTTAACTAGTTCGATGATGTATTGAGTTCTAATTCATTCAAGTATTTGTTCTAATTGGTAAGGTAGGTCCAACGGACATTAGATGAGTTTTTAGAAACTCATTGGGTGTTGCGAATTGTATTTTTTTTTTTTTTTTTTTTTTTTTTTATCGGTGGGGTTTTGGACTCGAATGAAGCTGAGTTTTTGGCCTTGTATGAAGCTCTTCACATTTTTGCTTCATCTTCTTTAAAGTCAAGCCCCTTGTTGATCGAATCAGATTCAAAAATTGCTTAAGGTTGGGTCTTACATAAGGACAAATTAAAGTCTTGGCATTTGTGGAAAAAAATTCAACAAACTTGATAAGCTTTTGTTATCCTGCTCCTAAGCCAGTTTTGTTCATGTCAAACGATTCAGGAATTAGTTCTAAGATTCATTAGCAAAAAAAAGGAGTGCATGCGACAAAATATTTTTTTGTTTAACTAATGAGCGTTGAGATGAATAGTTCGACACTCTTATTCTTTAAGTGAGGTCAAGGGTTCGATCCTCATGATGGAGTAAATACTCATTGGTCCACTTTACTTCTTAGTGGGTCGATCCAGTGCGTGCAAGATTTAGTTCTAGTACAGTGGGCTGAGATGCTAGTTAAGACCAAAAAATATTTTCTTACTTGGGTGTAATGTTATGAGTCTTAGTTCTTTATTCTTATTTCAAGAATGAATGATGTGTTGTTTGATGTTTTGGCTCAGTTTTCTTTAACTTATTTAAGAGTAGGTATGGATGTGTCGGATAAGCCTTTTAACTTAGATTAGTTTCCTAAATTTATTAAAGTCTTTCTTGGCTATCTTTATTCTATTAAACCAATGAATTTATTTGCTGCGATATATGATAAATATAATATTTCATCCATCTTAAAATTATAGTCTCAGTTCTTTTCACCTATTTTTAAAAATAGTAAATTAAATAGTTTAATTTTATTTTTTTCTTAGTTTTTCCATAATATACTAAAAATTGTATATTAATGATTCTTGAGACTTTCAAAATAAGATGAGTAGTTTATATCACAATTTCAGAATTAACTATTTTCAAACTTTAAGATGAGTGGTTTATATCACAATTTCAAAATTAACTATCTTCAAACTTTTTTTTCCACTGTCTAGCAAATTTAACTAATATTAATTATTCACACCCATAATTATATAAAGATTTTGTGAGAAAATTAAAAAAAAATTCTAGAAATATAAATGAAACTACTATTATTCTGGGACACCAAAAAGAAAATTGAGAATATAATTTTAAATGGAAGGAGCAATATACACTCCCATTTATTTGATATCACTGATATGCAAGTACATTTTTTTTTTTCATCAACAAGACGACGAACATTTAAGAAAAATAGAATAATAAAATAAGAAAAATAGAATAATAAAATTTATAATCGATTAAGATGTCAAAATACAAAATATTCATAAAAACTTAGTTGTATATTTGCTAGGTTAATAAATTAAAAAAATTGTGATTAATAAATTAAAAAAATTGTGTTTTTAAAAGTTATACTAAGTGTTTCTTAAAAAAAATGGTAAGTGTAGTAATAAGGAAAATATTTTTTTCTTGGAAGTGAAAATCATTTTCCTTAAACATGTCTTAGTTTTTCTTTAACCAGAAAATATTTTTCACGAGAGCTCACCGATGGTTAGCTTTTTCCCTTTTTTATTTTTTTATAAATAATCTTCAGATCTGTATAAAGATCTGAGTTATTGTCTCTTAAATATCGGGATTTATTATTGCTTATATCTTGAAATTTTATTTTCAGATATTTTATTTTCAGATCTAGTTCTGAGTTATTGTTGTCACCATTATGGTGATTTCGTCCAGCGTCTTTTGTTATTTAGATATTTATATAGAAAGAAGTGTAGATCTCCTTTCTAATAAAAAAAAAAAGAAATTTAAAGGTAATCAGATCGGACTTATAGAAAAACCATGGAGTCGCATAGTGGTTATGAACAGCCATCAAGTGGAGCAAGTGATCGCCTATGACACAAATTATATATTCTGTCAACTCGATCGGATACTTCAACTCAAGATTGTGTTTTTTTATTCTTTGTAAGTAGTTTAGCATTAGACTTTATATACAAAAATATAGAAACATATTGATCTGTATCCCATATCTATATAAAGTTTCCTCTTAATAAAATTTCTAATTTGATTTCCTTTAAAAAAAAGAAAAATATTTTTCAAACAAATTATTTTCCGAAAGCAAAGGAGCCTAAACTGCAAACTAATAACATCACCCCAAATTCGTACCAACATTAATCCAAATGGGAAAGTTTTTTCAATAGGGATGCATTAAAAATTTAGATATCCTTTGCATTTTAATACATGAAGTCTTCTTCAAATATTTTTTGATTGTAAGTAAATATATTTGGCTAATATTTAACGAATAAAACTGATCATTTTTTTTATGCAATTTGATTTTTTTTTAATTAAAAAAAAAAGGAAAAACAGCTTGGCTTCATGTTGGTTCTACAGCAAGTAACATTATATGCAACTTGGTTAGGCACGGAAACATCACCAATGAACACACTTCCATTTATGGAAGCAGCATCTCCTTAATTAACAATCCCCCTGACATTAAATATATCCACCATGACTTGCACCGTTGAGCCCACATTAACCTAAGCCCCAGTCATTTCTCTGTTAATTACATCACACTTCCATTTATGGAAGCAGCATCTCCTTAATTAACAATCCCCCTGACATTAAATATATCCACCATGACTTGCACCGTTGAGCCCACATTAACCTAATTCGTGAAGATAAAAGGTTAAAGGAACAAATTTATAAAAACCATATACAAATAAAATTAAGAAGGAAAAATCTTACCATTAGTTCGCCGGCCCTTGCATATACAACATCAGTACCGTTAATTTTCCCAATATAAAATAATTTTCCTGCAATTAAGAATCCAAGAAACGGTAATGGTCTATACATACAGTTGTAATACTAAACAGTTAAAAAGAAAGGATGGGTTACCAGCAATTTTCTGACTGGAGGTAACAGTGAAGACTCCAGAGTCAATGAGTGCATTCTCAGCATCACTAGTAAGAGAAACAACGCCCACTGGATATGTTTCAAGGCCATTGAATTTATGGGTCATTTCATACACAGGATTTCTCAAACTCAGTGGCGTGGACTGTTGTGCCATAGCTAACAGCCCAAAAACCACCACTGTCTCAAACTCAGTGGCGTGGACTGTTGTGCCATAGCTAACAGCCCAAAAACCACCACTGAAATTCGAATTGCCCACATCTTTGGGGGTGGCCCTGCTAAAGCCATTCGATTTGCTGAAGATTTTGTAGAGAAAATTAAGACTATGTCTTACAAGTTAAGTTAGAAGGCTGATCCTATAACCTAAAACAAGCCAATGTTTTGGTTGGTGTGTTGCTCTTCCTCAAAAAGGCCTTATATAGACGCCAGCAAGGCACTGTGTCATCGTTATCCCTTCCCATATAATTAAAAAAATAAGCAATAGCCACATGTTCCATGAAAGAATAATTAAGAAAACCAAACCCTAAGGGTTGGTTCACATGGTAAGTGAATTTTCTCCACACGTTTAAATCAAAGGTTATAAATGAGGGAATTTTTTTCCTACACATGGTACATGAGTAGTCTCATATATCAAGCCAATTAAAAAAATACATTTTAAAAACATTTTTATTTTATCATTTTTTTCAGTGTACGGTCAGAAATAATATTGGTTGAACTAAAATATTAATTATAATTAGTTTGGTGTATATGTGACCATGTGTAGGTAAGTCTTTCCCTGTAAATGACATCAATAAAGTATGTTCTGATTGATATTCTCACTTATAAGAGAAGTGAGAAGTCTCGACCCATTAGGCTCTCCCAATAAATGAAAACAAAATCATAAATGATAATTTATTTTCTTAATTGAATCATCTTTTATTAACGGTAATAGTTGATGAATTTAATATGATATATGAAAGTGAACCTAAAACAAAGGCCAAAATGGGTATGGAACCCGAACATGTCATGCAATAAAGCTATTAGAAGTAATGCATATATAAACATTTAGCTTCCACTTGTTTACCAAATTATATTTTTAAATAAAATATTTTTAAAATAATTTATTTTGCATTATTTGATTGTAATATTAAAAGTTAGTTAAAAGATATTAAAATTTTTAATTTATAATAGTTAGTTAAAAGATATTTTAATTTATAATTATAGAAATTTTGTATTTCAAAAACTTATTATTAAATATGAGAAAAATACATAAAAAGTGATAATTTGTGATACTTGTCGATGACTTATGGTGGTGTTTGCCGATGACTTACGGTGGTGTTGACTATGGCTAGCAGTTAGTGGTGGTTAGTAATCGTTGATGGTGGCTAACTGTGATTAATAAATTAAAAAAAAATTGTGTTTTTAAAAGTTATACTAAGTGTTTCTAAAAAAATGGTAAGTGTATTAATAAGGAAAATATTTTTTTCTTGGAAGTGAAAATCATGTTCCTTAAACATGACTTAGTTTTAGTTTAACCGGAAAATATTTTTCACAGGAGCTCACTGATGGTCAGCCCTTTTCCTTTTTTTTTTTTTTTT